TATGATTGCGGATTTTGGTGGGGTTGTTAACCAAGTCAGCCGTCGATATCTACCTGATGATTAATGAGATGTTAATGGGCGCCTTTTAGTATGAAGTGTCAAATGCGCGATTTTCCCAGATGCACCCCAATAAGCGGTTGGTCTAGGGATGAAAATGAATCATTGTATCTATCAAAAATTATGGCAGTGTTGTTGGACCTAATGTGGTGCGCTTCTTGTAGGCAGTGGATTCAATGTGGGGAGTTTCCCTCCAAGGGTCAATGACACTACGATAGTGCTTCATTCCAAAGTTTCTAGCCCGGACACAATGTAAGGACTTTCGATCTATTTCGCTATGTAATGTGGTGTACAAAATTGTGTCTAAGGTGTTGGTGAACCGATCTTAAGGTGGTGCTGCATGGAAGTGGTTTCGGTGACTCACAGTCTGCGTTTCATTCCCAGGCAGGCTGATTCCGGATTAATGTTGATTGCTTTGACCGGATTCATTCTATGAAGACGGCAGGCTTCAGGTCAGAGGGGGTACGGGAGCTCTAAAATAGACATGTCCAAGGCATATAGATCGGATCCAATGGGTTATTTCAAAAGCGATTTGGAGAAGGAAAATGGTTTTTGTTCCTGCATGGGTTCGGTTTGATCATGCAATGTGTTTTCTTCGGTCCAGACAGTACCGTTACTTTTAATGGTATTCGTTGTAGCTTTATTATTCCGCAAAGAAGGCTCCGTCAAGGAGACTCCCTTTCGCCATACCTTTTTATTCTCCTGTTGCTGATGGGTATCTGCGCTTGAGGAAAGCCGAAAGTAGATTGTTGACGGCATGTAAGGTAAAAAAGAGCAGCTCCTAGTGTCTCTCATCTTGTTCATTTGCTGACGGATATGCTTTTGTTTTTTAATGCTACTTATGGTAAGAGAGTACTAAGGTGCAAGAGTATTCTCCATCAATATGAAACGAACCTCGGGGACAAGCGGTCAACTTTATAAGTTTGGAAAATGTATTTTTTTTAGCCTTGAATGATGAATCACGCATCTCAAACTGCTATTTTGTGGCCACTTAGGAGTTTCATAATTCTACCAGATCACAGTAAAGTACTTGTGGTTACCGTCATTAACTGAGGAAAAGAAAGGCGGGTCTTTGCTTATCTTAGGGGTTGATATGGAGGTTACCAAATTTTGGAACGTTAGGACCCTGTCAAAAGCCAGCAAGGGAAGTATTGATAATTAAAGCGTTAGGGCAAGCAATTCCTACCTTATTGTATGGGAGTTTTTCTTCCTTTCCGGTTATGTTTACTGGATGAACTCAGAAGAAATGCTTAATTAGTTTTTGGGGGGTCCTAATGGGGAGAGAAGGGGGGGCATCCATTGGCTTAAAATGGGACAGTTTGTGTGCCTAAAGGTGGAGGGGCTGGGATCAGGGATCTAGCTAGCTTTTAACTTTGGCTCTTCATTGGCAAGCAAGGATGGACGGACTTGTTACTTAACTCTACTTCTCTTGTACAAGAATTTCAAAGCAAAATACTACCATGAGGGGATTTTATGGAACTCACTTTTAGGGACTAACCCAAGTTTTGCGGGAGAAGTATCTTCCAAGGAGCTGCTACGGAATGGTGTTAGATGGCGAAATTGGGGAAGGGCAGGCTTGAATATATGAAGGAACCATGGATACAACTTCGGATGTTTCTATTTTATGTGGGATTCGCCTGTCTTAAGAAATGGGTTTGGGGATTAACAGGTGGCGGATGGTGAAGGGAACCAGTGCGGTATGGTTGGAATAAGTTTCTTGTGCAGGGACTGTTTGAGCCTGCTGTGCTGGTCCATTTTTGGCAACTCCAATAAGTTATGTCACACAGAGAGACCATCTCATTTGGCATTGGTCCGAAATGAGGGTCTTACTAGGTAAGAAGCTTATCTATTGCTGCCCAGGATTCGCTTAGTGTCTTTTTGTTAGGGACATTCGGTTTCTGTGGAAAAAGGTTTGGAATCTTCCTATGCCCCCCGAAGTTCGTCATTTTTTTTGGCGTGCATTGCAGGGACCTTCTTCTAACAAAAGTGAGGCTGAATTCAACAGGAGTTTCAGGTCTATGCTGCCTGTGATTCTTGGATAGAGGAGAACTTTCCATGTCCTGGTTGGATGTCCTATAGCACAGAGTGTCACTCGTCAAGTTTGGGGTCCAAGCTAGGATTGAAGAGATTTGTCCTTTGTGGGACTGGTTTGGCAAGCCTTGCCAGGGGAAAGTTGGATTTGCAGGAAGGCTTGGGGATATGTGTTGCCTGTGGTTATTTGTTGGTATATAACAGGGAATAATCTTCTGTGGAGTAAAGAACCAAATTGCTCCTCAGCCAACTTATCATGCAGGTTCGCACCTTTTTACCTCGGGACTGGGCAAGCTGCTAGTGGAGAACGCAGAATTGGTGATTCGGGGGTGGGAGAGGCGAGCCTTTGTGGGGATGGATTCCGCCAGCAGATGGTTTTCTTAAGGCAATATTGATGCAGATGTACTGGAGGATGGGAGTGGCTTTAGCTTTGCCCGCGACTTTTTCAGGTACTCAGGTGGCCAGTTTGTAACAGCTATTTCATGGTCAGTTCTGGATATTCGGTCAGCCCACGATATGCAGACAGCTTATTGGGGCTGAAGGAAGTTTTGTCTTGGCTTAAGCAACGGGATTGCGTCAGTGGTTTCTTGGAAATGGATGCCAAGAGGGGTCAGGGCTTTGGGTTCGCACATGATGATGATCGGATTCTTCAGAGTTTGGGCTGCTGATTGAATGACTGCAAGCAATTAATGGTGGATTTGCTGTAGCTATCGTCTTTGGGTGAAGAGACGAGCAAACAATGGCCGCTCTTATTTAGCCAAAACGTGGCTTGTTTGAAGCTAGTTTCAAGATTTTGGAACTGTAAAGATATACCCAATACATATTTGTTCTATTGTATATCTCTGATTCAATTTTTAATAAATAATTATTACCTTTTTTCACAAAAAAAAAAAAAAAAAAAAAAAAGGGCCAATTCAATTTCTGGTTTGGTTTGGAGCCGCTGACACCGGTCTAGTATAGGCACAAAAAGGGTGGCACCAATATTTTTCCAAATACCAAAAAACTTAAAATATCGAATTTGTAAAGTTTTATCCTTGCAAGGAAAATAAAAATAAAAATATATTGTTATTACTTTTAGGAGTGTGCAAAACAGTCGAATTAAATTCAATCAAACCAACATAGACTGTTTTCCAGTTGGATAAGTCTACTCAAAAGGAATTCGATTTTTTTTCGGCTTAATCTGTTTGGAACCGAAATTTATTGGCTGATTCGACTTGGTTTTATAGAAAAACCAATTTGTTAGAACTTAAGAAAACTAATTATTTATACTTAAGGGACCGACAATACCCTAGTAGATTCGGAATATTGACTCAATTTAGTATCAAATACCAAATTTACCGTTTAATATTAATATAAAGGTACGGATAAAAGATTCAGTATATTACATTTTTTAGTCATTAATTAAGTTTGAACAGCCAATTGCCTCCCTAATGGCGGCTAGCAAATATTTCTGTGCAGTCATTCCTATTTAATTTCGATTATTTAGTAGAAATTAAAAACATTCCTCCAAATTGTTCACTAATCATACTACTTTATTAAATGTGAACTTACTATGCTGTGGCACCAGCCCTGTGCTCCCCCTAAATACATTCCATGAATTTAAAAATACCGTAAGAACAACTACCCTGACAAATTCGCTTCTTGAAAAATCAATCAATTTCTCAAACAATACTCCAAACATTCGTTTACCGCAAGTACACGCGTTGAAATTTTCAAATAAGAAAAAGAATAATACCCTGAATCAACAAATCTGATTGACACAAAACTCTAGACTTATTCGGCTAAAAATTTCATATTATTATATACTTATGGCAAACAGAAAAACAAAAACAAAAAAAGGTTTCCTCCTTGACAAGGAAAAGGAAAATATGGAAAGATTTCTCTTTGTTTCATCTCTTCGCGGACAGGGATGGATTGAAAAAATTTTGCAAAGACCACATATTTCAATCAATTATTGGCAGAAGCAAAGGGAACTGCAGAAAGAAATAAATCCATAGATGTTCTAAAGAAGACAGAGAGATGGAAATGAATTGTCCCTTATAGGATGCTCCCAAGGCAAACATTCCCTAAGAAAGCAAGTGCGAAACAAATATACTCAAATATCAGTTTTGCAGTCTGCAGCGCTTATATAGTTTGAGGTTAAAGACTTAAGGAACCAGTTACCCATTCATATGAACTGTTTTTTGGTTACTGAGGCAATCTTGGTTATAAGACTACTATAACAGTTGTTTATTAACAAATTAAAAAAAAAAAAATGATCTGTCAACAAATTCAAATATAATAGCAGGCAAGAATAGAATCAAAGGTTTATATCATTTGAAGTCAAAATTAGTATACATTAAATGATACAGTTTGACATAACTCGCAAATGATTATAGAGAAACAGTTGTGCCTGTAAAGTAATTTCTCATCACTCTCCTCTTCCTCCATCTGACACAACCATCATAAAACTGGTAATTCTATTTTTCCCCCACTAGAGAACGATTGGGGACAAGACTCTCAGGTTCATATAATCACCTTAGCAATCTTTCCTCAATATCTCTTGGGGTTTCACTACAAATTAAGGAACCAATTCACATTTGGCATTGAAATCCATTGTTTCAGCTTCTGGTACCTTTGCTTTATTCTGGATTCTAGACTATAAGGTGTAAAATATTCAGGGGAAATCCACCGAGCTCTTCAATGGCCTCCCATTTCCACTCTTGTAAAAGTAATAGCCTATTTTTCATAAGAGGAATTCTCAATGGCAACTAACTGCGGACATTTCTACAACCATCTTGCTACATCCTCAGATGGGATTCTCTGCCCAAAAGGAACTCAACAGTTTTCTGACCACAATTTTGGTTAAGGACTCACAATCTGTAGCATTCTTCTCTATCACTTGTGAAACCCTTCGGATTGATTTTTGAGCTTCAAGCTGAAGAATACTGCTGCGAAGATAACTTAGCTTTCCCCAAAGGCAATCCAGAATTTGCGGATACTGTGCTAGTTAATGGAAGGCAGTGATTCGTTACTGAATTCCAAAACTAACTAAGCAAATCCACATTCAGCTTAACAGGGCTCTTCAAAGATCATTAACCAAAGTAAATATGCCCTCGTTCTCCAGCCATTCTCGCTGACTATTTTCTTGGCCAAACCCAAAAGAAACCAAATATCAACAAGCTGGGCGTAATCATAGTTCCTACCCTATCCTAAAAAGTATGGATACTGTGTCACATCGGGCCGGATATCTCTAGGATTAACGCCCAATGCTTTACAAGATAAGCAACAGAAGTGATCATGGTTCCTTCAAGCTTAAATCCGAGAAGCTCAGGAATACTTTTGCAAAACATACCCAATATCCTGTTCTCTCCCACGTCTAGCCACGAAGAACCTAACAGCGGCATAAGTCAACTACCAACGCTAGGTGCAACACTTGTGGATAATTCTTAATAACTCCCAAGTTTGGGCCTGCTAATGCCAACCTTTCCAAATACCAGCACAGGTTATCATATTTTTTCCTTACACTACATGCCTAGGCATTAAAGGGTATCTTAATATCATTCAATCGTCTTAATCCTAGCTTCTGCAAGAACTCAACACGCTCCCTTCATACACCTCCACAGTTGATGGAAGCTCTAAGTTTTCTAATTCCATCAGGAAATTATCCCCAAAGACTTAAGGTATTCACATATATAACACGATTTACAAGCCTTTTCTCTTTTGCTTGTAACCATACCCAGGTGACCGAAGGCACTCATACTCAGGGGACTTTGATGTCTGGTTGAAAATGGGAGCACAAAATTGCAACCCTAAAAGGTTTTCCAAGATTTTGAGACACGGGTCCTTTTGGTTTTTGAATTTAAAGGACGATAATCGAAGTGGGTTTTTGTTGGGAAAAATGACGTGGGAGCAATAGAATTGATGAATAAAGTTAAAGACTTTCCCCTTCTATGCCGGAGGATAAACTCATGTCGTCTTAAAAGAGCATGGAAAAGGAAACTGAATTGGAGTTAACACGAACAAGAATCTGATTTAATTTGATTTTGTTAGTGATTTTTCTTTATAAAATGAGGAAAGGAGGGGTTACCTCAATTTGCAGACTTAGAAAGAACAGCGACCACCATCCCTGAAACTTGAACGCAGTGTTTGCTTGTTGACTTCGTTGGGGAGCCAAATTGGCCAGGTGTTATAACGGCAAAGAGGTTTATGGAAGCTGATCATATTTTTGGGGCTAAAACCTACAAAAATTAAACCTACAAAAAATTTTTTCAAAACATTAGAAAATAGAGTTTTGATTCAAATTATCAGTTTTTTATTTGAAAATTAGAAATATTTTTTCCAAAATTTAATTAAGGTTTTGGAAACAATTTTAAGTTATTTTCACAATTTTCTTTATAATAAAATACAGAGTTTTCCAACTTTTTTTATTTAAAAAAATTATTTTTCACCAATTTATTAATATTTTAATAAGTTTTTCTTAAAAATATTTTCATTAAAAAAGGTATTTAAATAACATAAGAAAATTATGTTATTGTAATACCCATTGCCCGATCTCGAGGAATAGGCGACAGATGCCACTTCGTGCCAAAGGCACCTATCTAGATACGGATTTAAACTTATTAGCTAACAGGACATGAGTAAATTTTTTAAAAAACTAGATCTGCTTTCGAGTCTCATAAGGTTCTAGTAAGTTCTATGGTTTTACTTAGAAAATGATTTAAGAAATCCGTATAGGAAAATTGTAAGATTTCCCCTAGAAAGTGGACTTAATAAAACTGTGAAATAAGGAACACTTCCAATTCACATTTACTCAACTATCCAACAACTCTTAATATAATCAAACTAAATCTCAATCTGTACATACATACATATAATCCTTTAATCATCATTAATCATCATTCATTAAGCCATAAAATCAAACTAAATTTTTTTAAACATTAATTCTATAATACATTCATGTATAAGTAACTTAATTTCAATTCTAAAACTTAAAGATTGTTCAATAATTAATGAACCTCATACAAGTTTTAATATAAATTCTCAAACATAAGTTTCCAAAGAAATTACATACTCTAAGTAATCTAATTTTGTAATGCCTAATTATCAAATATTATAAATACATAATCGGAAACTACCAAAAAGGAATATCCTTCCGTCTAATGCTTGAACTTGGTCTTCCTCAGCACCCTTCAGTCAAGAACCTGCGGTTGATAAAATCAACGCGCTAAGGTATGAACTCAATGGTGCTCATAATCACATACATCCACATGTTCGATGAAAACATAAATTCAGATAAAAATACACATTCAAGCTTCATAATCATATAATCATATGACTAACAGACATTGACAAGCATCTATGGTTACATCAATCATTTTAAGCATATAAACAATTAGTACTGTTAATTAAATCATATCAATCATATAAACATCAATAGGCATCTATACTAATATTAAGATGTAAACATAATTGAATCTAGATTTCTCATATCATGTCATATAACTTAATATAATACTCAATTACATATGATAAGCTAGAAGAAACATAATATTCATTTATTGAAGTATAAGACATATTAATCATGAATTTCAAGCAAGTTGTGTTTTAATTATAATCATAAACTTATAAATACCCATATCATAGAATACTTATCTAATTAGTCAAATTTTTTAAATATTTACTTTGGGGCTATATAAACTTAGTGAAAATGAAGCCAAATTAGATCTTCATATATAGTCATTAGGGTGTGAAGCGCTTTCTGAGCGCCATTGGGAAGATCGAATGACGGAGTCGATCCATACGGGCCCATTGGTCGGTTCGTCATGGAAACTAGAGGAACTCCTTATGGTTCATTTTTATTTGATTAGATTGGATTTTGTGGCTCTATTTGCGCTTAAGTGTGTCAGGTTGGCTCTTTGGGGCGCTGACAAGGTGTGTTTGTTTTTGTTTTCAAGCGAAGATTAAGGAAAAAACCTGTTGTTGGACTCCGTTTTCAGTATTGCCTTTTAGGATAAAAAGCACTCAGCCCTCGAATCATTGGGGTTCGGGGGGAATAGGGGTTTTCAGCTTTCTTTTTGAAATAAATCAAAGTTTTGGGTCATTAATTAAGAAAACAATCGGTGTTTTGCATGAATGTCAGTTTATCAATGCCATGAACATACCTTATAATGCACTGTTAATATAAAAAAATTATAGTGCATTAAAAGTAAAAAAGGTGTGTAATTTGGAGGAGGAGGCCCACTCTAGCCTCTTTTATTGAGGATTCTAGTCGCACCGACACCATTCCCTAAAGTCCCGACATCAAAGTTGGTCGGAGGGCCCGCCTACCGTAGGCTGAAATTAGTAGGTATGCCTTATGTACTCCATTCTGTATGAGGGATAAGGGCACACGAAGTTTTGCTAATCGATTAGCATGGCTAGGGTATCTAGGGTGCACTCGAGGAGTGGGCATATTAGGGATTGCCGGCTGACCAGGCTTAAGTTGAAAACTAGTTTATCGAGTTACCGGATGGATCGGGCTTGTGGGCCTGACGAACCGGGCTTAAAGCATGCAAAGTGCTGTATGGACCAAGCTTGACAGTTTTTAAGATGCCAGGACGACGGGCATATTGCATAAAATTTTGAGTTTAGTGTTATTACCCTTATGGTTGTGACATGGCCGGATCAGAGCTCATCGGTGGGGTAACGCCAAGGAGGTCGAGTCTTCCTCCAAGTCTAAGCTTAGGTAGGCGTTGGGACCCGATTATATTATACTAGTGTTAATTAACGGATTATTAATTAATTCTTGAGATTAATTCAATAATAAATTAATTAACTAATAACTTTGTTTAAGGAAGACCAAAGTGTGGATTGAAAGTCGAAAGGATCATTTTTGAGTACCAAGTCAGCCTTAAACTCAACTAAAGGAAGCAGAGCAAGTTAGGCTTATCATTTGCCTTAGAATTCATAAATAGGTGAGAATGAGAGTCTGATGGCGTGGTTAGAAAGACTATGGTTTTATAGAGAAAACGGTGCTTACAGGTAACTTGCTAACAGGAACTCAGAAGCATCCGTGCTACAGTAACTTGATCAAAATTGATGGAAGCGGTAAGATAGTTGATGGTGAGATTAAAATGAAAAAGATAGATGATTGTTATTTGGAAACAAAACAAAACCCATAGTTTTGGAAACTACATAAAAAACCAAATGTGATTAACACTTTTGTTATTCCAAATCTCCTTTCAAAATACACCAAAAATCCCTTTATATAGGGAAACAAGAAGATGCCATAAACTCCCTTTGAATGTGATTGTCTCAAAAGACACAATTTCAAAGGACACCTAACTAGTTGAAAAACCAAACACATGCAAAGATCACCTAACTAGGTTGAAAACAACTTATTCAAAGGAACACCTAACTAAGTTTGAAAATAACTCATTCAAAAGGCACATTCAAAGAACACCATAACTAAGTTTGAAAACAACACAAATGAGCATGGAATTCAATAGTCAAATGATCAACCAACGTTGCTCACTTGATTTATTGTCTTACAAAGATTGATGGTTTGAAGGACCCCAAATGGCCTAAAAGCGAGCTGATAGCTTCAGATTGAACATGTCACTCCCACGAAACGGAGCCATCTTCACTTTGGACTGTCGTTACTTAACCTTCACTAATTGGGATCAAGGCCAAGGCCCATGTCTAGACAGCTTGTAAGGCTAGGCTTAGATGGACCTCCATCATTTCTCCCCTTTCTTTTGAAAAGTTTTCAACTTGGTCAGAAGTTGACATGGTGTTTTCCTTGTATTTTGCAAGTCACTTACATTGGAAGGTGTTGGAAATCTTGTAAGACGGAGGCGCTCTACCTTGTAAGCATTCTGGTTTACCTTCTTGATGATTTCGTAAGGACCCTCGGCTCTTGGGCATAAGTTTAATTCTTTCTTTTTAGAAGGGAATCGTTCCCTTCCTTAAGGAACCACACTAGTCACCTTTCTTTAAATTCCACAACATTCTTTTTAGGCTTGGCTTGATCTTGTTAGGCTTCGTTCTTCTTCTCAAATATGTTGCTTTTTGCTTCCTAGCATGGAGTTTTGATCAATTTCAGTAGCTCTGTCCTCGGCCTTTAAGTTAGAGGGGATTACTAGAAGTGTGCGTTCTCAATCAAGAGGAACAAGTGGATAGCTCCATTAACTAATTCAAAAGGTTGTAAAATTAGTGGGTCTTACTCTTCGAACTGATTGTAAGCAAATTCAGCATTCTGAGGCCAAACAAAAGAATCCAATTCTTTACTTTCCCCTTTAGCAACTTCCGCAAAATTTGCCTTACAGCTTCGATTGGACCACTTCTTCTGTTTGTCAATTTCTGGTTTGAGATGAAAAAGCCGTACTAGAACTTCAAGGTAGTCCTAAACCTTGCCACAAATGCCTCAAAATTGACTCAAAAAACTTTAAACATCCCTATCACTTACTATAATCTAGGACATTCCAATGGAGTTTTACAACATTTTCCAAAAGTAACAAATCTCAGAATATGAGATTGCATCATTAGTTTTGTTACAAGCAAATAAAATGAGCCATTTTTTGAGAATCTATCTCTACAACCATAATGGAATCATTATTTCGTCTTTTTCTCGGCAAAAGCCAACAATTTTGAAATCAATACTTACATCGTCCCATGGTGTTGAGCTTGGATCGGCAAAGCATGTAATGGTCGTGAGCTTAAGTCATTGGGATTGCTTACAAGTATTACACCCTCCAACAGTCTTGAAATCTCGTTCCCACATCTTTGGCCAATAAGAAATTTTGCTTGCCAATTCATAGAGTTTTGTCTCTTCCAAGTGACCGGCTAGGCCTCCACCAGACTTCCTTAAGAATTGCTTTCCCTTAAAGAGCTTTGACGGAACACAAACAGCATCAGCTTGAAAAAGAATAACCATCATGAATAAGTGAAAGTCCCTAAATGCACCATCTTTCCTAACTCTTCTCCCAAATTCGACCGAAAATCCCCATCACTCTCATACAAGGGTCTTAATCTTCTCAAATCCTATTACATGAACATGCATGGTATAAGAACTTCATATTCTCCTAGACAATGGCATTCAGCCACTCTATTACTTGGACCATCCCTAATACTTCACTTACAAAATCAAAGGATTGCATGTATTCAAACCCAAGATGCATGTCTCTTGCTTTAACTTAGGCTTGACTTTGTATGTATTTGAGGGCTTAGATTGTCAGAACATAAGATGAAAGAGTTAGCCAACAAATATTGCACTCCAATGTTTTAGGAGCACGAAATCAAGGCATAGAACTCCAAGATCATTAGGCAGAATATTTTTCTCCTACATCATTCAAATTTTTCATAAAAAATGCAATAGGTTTGCCTTCTTTGACCAAAACCAGCCCCTATCCCCAACCCACTAGCATCAACTCCAATTCAAAAGGTAAGTTGAAATTAGGCAAGGCCAAAACAGGAGCTTTGTGTCATTGCATTCTTTAAAGTGGTTAAAAGCAAGGGTGGCTTTGAGGTGTCCATTTAAAACCCCTTTTTTATGCATTCGTTATAGGACTTGTATAGGTACTAAAACCTTATGAATCTCCTATTAAAAAGAACAAACCCATGAAAACTCCTTACTTGAAACAGATTGTTTGGAATAGGGCAATCAACAATGGCGCTTGACCTTCTTCAGAATCCTACTTACTATTACCATTTTAGTACAACATACCCCAAAAAATAATGGTGCTATCACAAAAATGACACTTCTCTACATATAGATACAAATGATTCACGGTCCAAAACCTCAAACACAAGTCTCAAATGCACATATTAATGCTCATGGTGAAACTAGTACTAAGATCAGAATTCATCAAAGAGTTCACCACAAATTTGTTAACGAAAAGGTTGAGTTTACCTCATTCATGAGCGCATAAAGGTGGAAGGTTTTGAATTAGAAGATCCCATAGGCATGAACCAAAACCCAATTCATATAAGCCCCTCATTGGTCTTGAAGGCTGTCTATCCATCTCACCTTCATCGAACACGAATTTTGGGTTTAGAATCCATATCTGCAAGATCAATCCTTGTAGAATTGAAGCTCCATGCAATGATCAAGCAACTATCATCAAGCCTTGGATTTAGGAAAACCGTACTTTGATCGTCTATCTTATTACACAGCCATTGGAATCTATCACCATTCTCCACCTTGCCATTCTTTTTAGGAAAAACAAGGCTGGCACAACACAGGAGAAAACACTCTCCCTTATAAAGCCTCTCTTTAACAACTTCATCAACTTGCTTTTTGTAATTTCATCACTCTCTTTAAGGACTTAATTCTATTAGGAGTCTTATGAGGAATTTGAGCTCCCGGAACAAAAATGAATCTCATGTTGTCATTGATCTTAGAGGGGGCAAACCGGATAGGTAAAAGTGTTCTGGAAACTTCCTCAAACTCTCTAATAAGGAACATTGTACTTCTTTTGGAATCATTCATGATCTCTCTTTAGGCTCTCCTCCAACATCAATTGGGAACATAGCTAGGCAGCCCTTCTATAGATCTCACTCTTCTCATCATTGGATAACATCCAACCATCCAATTCTCTTTTCTTCTTTCGTTCTCGGGTAGTAACGGTGTATGTGAGCAAGATTGGTGTACCCTCATGGAACAAAGGTGCTAAGTAATTGGCCTTTCCTTTGCTGTTGCACATCCTTATCATACAACCAAGGTCTCCCAGAAAGAAGCAAGGACAAGCTGTCATTGGGATAACATGGTTTAGCTCAACCTCATCCACGTATTGCCCATTGCAAAAGGAACTAGACACTTCCTTAGTGACTTAATCATTGCCAGAATTCAGCCAAGCCACCTATAAGGGTTGTTCAATTGGCTCTGTTTTCAGTCCCAACTTCGCAACATTTCATTTGATTACCAACATTCTCAATGACCTATCAATAAATAACTTCACACAATTTATTATATTTGTCAAACATCTAGTGATGAACAGAGGGATCTTCCTCTCACATCCTCCCATTCTATTTCAATATTCAAAAATACGGCTCATCACTAAACACTCCCTACTCTTCCATTGCATCACAAAACTAGTCATATCATCCCTCATCAAATTTCAATCACTTTTACTGCAACAGAATCAGCATGGTTATATTTTCTTCCTCAATCTCCTCTATCTCTCTAAGGGTTCATTACCTTTTCTTGAAGGACACTTCAGATTGGAAGTGTCCATACCCTGGCAATTTGAAACATTTCAAAGCATTCTGAAGAGGTACTTTTGGATGTGGGACAGATTGGGTATTTCTTGGTTGTGTTGGAAGTTGTTTTTAACGAGCGGGGGTTTTGGTGAAGGTGTGTATTGTGGTCTTGATAGGGGCAGCATTGGGCTACTAGAGCTTGGTTCTGTACGTTATCAAGGTCTGATATTGGTTTTTTTTTGGTGAATGCTTCAAACTTGTCTCACATTCTTAGTGCTAATCTTTCAACTTCAATAAGAGATTCATAAGGATAGAAGCTAACCATGTCTTGGATGATTCGAATCGAAGGCCTCTGGAGAAACGCCCCATGAGCAGCTCCTCGGTCTCCTCGACCTCACACTTCAATAAGAATTCCTCATTCCATGGTGTATTGTTCCACATTTTAGTATTTGTTGAGGGCTCAACATTCTTTCTCAATCATTTATCTTGCTTATATGGACAAGGGGTGGCAAGAACACCGTCCATCTCTTCCTTTCATCTTCCTATCACCCATTGAGTAATTTGAGGCCCTCCTTCCCTCATCCTTTCTTTTGAAATTATTCCACCCAATAGGGCAGCGGTATCCTGTTTCAACTTATAGCAGCAAGCTTTCATTCTTTTGTTATCGGGACACTCCCCAAGTTCAAAGGATTCCTCTCCAATTGAGGTATAATCCATTCACAGATAGGGGCATCAGCATTGATTCTTTACCATGAAATTCGAGGTAATTCCGATTCTTATAGTTGAAAGATTCTTCTGTCTTCAACACGGAATGGGTGGTGGCAAAACGGCCTTGCCCTTGGCCCAAATCCTCCATGAAACAACTCCTCTCCCTCTCCTCTAAAACACCTCCACGTCCCAACACAAGGTGTTGGTCCTCTCCATTGAAAATCTTCATTTAGTCAGTTCCTCTTCATTTGAGGACTTTGCGGTATTTGGGGAGTATTTTGGATGATGTTTTCTAAGGCTTTCATTCTTCGGCCTTAGTAAGAACTTCCATTCCAACCTCATTTTTCTCAATTGCTGAGGCTAGATCTTTGATCTTCAAACATGACTTGTTTTGTCTTTGTTAAGAGAATGTTGTTGGTTATTAAGCCATAAACTTGAAAACAAATGAAAAGTGAAAAGAAGGTAAGATTGTATAGGGCTTGTACAACTTGATAGGCGGTGTGGAAAAGGACTATGGTTTCTGATAGGAACCAGTGCATACAGTACACTTGCTACAGGGAAACTCAGAGCATCGTGCTACAGTAACTTGATTCAAATGTGATGGAAGGCTAAGATAGCTTGGATAGTTGGAAGATTTAAAAATGAAAAAAAGACTAGAGTGATTGTTTTTGGAAACAACAAACCCAATAGTTTTTGGAACTAATAAAAACTCAAATTGATAACACTTTCTTGTTATTTCCAAATTCCCTTTTCAAAATACACAAAATCCCTTTATATAGGGAAACAAGAGTAGCCAAAAACTCCCTTTGAAATGTGGTTGTCAAAGACACAATTTCACAAGGGACCACCTAACTAGGTTGAAAACAACACATTTCAAAGTACACCTACTAGGTTGAAAACCACACTATTCCAAAGGACACCTAACTAAGTTTGGAAATAAACTCATTCAAAGAGCACAATTCAAAGAACACCTAACTAAGTTTGAAAACAACACAAACTTGAGGGCTGGAATTTCATAGTCAATGATCAACCAAGCTTGTCCTTGATTACTTGTCTTTCAAAGATAGATAAAAAGTTTGAAGGACCCAAATGGCCCTAAAAAGGCAGCTAGTAGCTTCAGATGAAACATCGTCACTCCTCCAAGCCCATCTTCACTTGGGACTGTCTTTATTGACAACTTCAACTAATGGTCAAGGCCAGAGCCCATGTCTAGGAGCTTGTCAAAGGCTAGGCTAGATGGACCTCCCTTCATTCTCCCCTGCTTTTGACAAAGTTGTCACACTTGGTCAGAAAAGTTGACACGGTGTCTTCCTTGTATTTGGCCAAGTACTTACATGGAGGTGATTGGAACTTGTAAGAACGGAGGCAGCTCTACCTATGGTAAGCATATCTGGTTTACCTTTCTGATGATCTTGTAAAGGACGCCTCGGCATTCTTGGGCATAAGTTTATCTTTCTTAGAGGGATCGTTCCTTCCTTAAGCTGACCACACTAGTCACTTCTTTAAATTCCAACAACAGTTTAGCTTGGCTTGGCATCTTGTAGTTCGTTTTCTTCTCAATATGTGTTTTTGCTTGATGGAGTTGATATTTCAGTAGCTCTATTCCTCGGCCTTTAAGTTAGGGGATTACTAGAGTGTGCGTTGCTCAAATCAAGAGAACAAGTGGATTAGCTCCATAAAACTAACTTCAAAGTAAAATAGTGGTTTTACTCTTCGAACTATTGTAAGCAAATTCAGGCATTGATGCCAACAAAGCAATCCCAATTCTTACTTTCCCCTTCTTATCAAACTTCGCAAATGTGCCTAAGCCTTCGTTGACCACTATTCTCGTTTTCATCTGTTATTGAGATGATGAAAAGCCGTACTGAACTTCAAGTAGTTGCCAACCTTGCCCACAAAATGCCTCCAAAATGACTCAAAAAACTATCCCTAATCACTTTGACGTATAATCTAGGAATTCCATGGAGTTTTACAAAATTTTCAAAGTTACAATATTTCAGAATATAGAGATTGCGATCATTAGTTTGT